TTCACCGTAGTAATAATCTATATCAATACTGCGGCCGGTCGCTCAAGTTCATGGCCAAAGTGACACAGGAAATATTGCGCGGAATAAAAAGCAAGCCATGTAGACATAAAGAGAGTATCCCAAAGAGCATAAAGCCGTGCGTACTTTTGGGAAAAGTCAACTATAACTAGGTAAAATTCGGGTTTATGTGCTAAAAATGATAGTAAATTGCGCGATTTGGGCTTTAAACGCAACAGGGTGCCGATACCGAATATTTTGGTGATCAAACAGGCACAGCATATTTTCCCATGGCTTAATTAATGCCTTGACCTAATTTGAATATTGCTGACATATGTAAATTAAGCAAAGGCATTAATAATTAAGCATGCAAATAGCTGGGGGTTTTAGGAAAAAATGTAAGTTTGCGTGAATAGTTAGAGCGATTAGACTAATGCAAATTGTCTGAAATTTTGTACAGTAATTAAAAACCCGACAAATTTATCATCATTAACTCAAAATATCATTAAAGCTTTAATATCATTAAAATTTCTTGCGCAAGCCATTTTTAGTTTGTTTGAAAAGACACCCCTGGTTCCATAATTTGAGTACGGAAAATTTGTTTCTTTATTCTACATTATAAGTACCCAAATAAGCTACATACATCAAAAACTGGATACTAATAGCTGTTTTGCGAAATTGAGAGCAAATTCATATCTGTTCAGTTTTTTTATACACCCTGTAATTTCTTTGGGTACTTATAATGTAGAATAACGAAAAAAAATTCTCGAACTCAAACACACGCCCTACCTTAAGGCCTGATTCAACGAGGCGGAATTTTTCGACCGAAATGAAATTTCTCTTTGTCTTTTTACAATTAGTTCTGCTCGAGAGCTCATGAAACAATTAAAGAGAAATTTCGATTCGGTCGAAAAATTTCGCCTAGTGGAAAACCGCCTTTAGGCTAGGGTGTGTGTTTTTTCCAACAAACTAAAAATGGCTTGCGCACGAAATTTAAAAGCTTTATTAATCGTATTTTGAGTTAATGGATGCATGGAAACTTAATTTGTTGGGTTTTTAATTACTGTACAAACTTTCAGCCGCCTCCCAAAACCAATTGCTGTAAAGCGTCTCTTTGCTGAGGCCTTACAAACTAATCGTCGAGTCGCTAATCGGAAGTCGCTAAATTGAAACTTGCGAAAGTGCACTTTTGAAATCTTCCAATGTGGACACCGCTGGCGAGTGGCGAACGCATCATTTTCTCTGCTGGACACGGCTGCAGGCGTTTCCCTAGCCTGCTCTACAGGCTAACGTCAAAACCACTCAACAGATACATGTACGCTTGGTTTACCTATTTTTTAAAAAAACCCTGCAGAGCACCCAGGTGTTTGGCTCTTTCCGTTCCCGGTTTTATCAACTCCTGATATCATTCCAGATTTTTTCGTTTGACCTTGCCCTGAACAATATTATGCAATTCTCACATGATGAGTAAAGTAATCTACTTGTTTACATATCAAGTCTAAACCAACGTACCAAGTGAACATAATACTATTTGCCTTGAGAAAGGCTGTAATATTTTTCTGTATTATAATGTCGATATCAGAGGGACGAAATCCAGCCATGGAACTGATGATTCAGAAAAGGTCACGTCTAATGACAAACGAAGGCAGACAGAAGGCCTTAAGTTATGTCCCTCGATCAAGTGATGTGATTGTTGCTACCCCAGCGAAATGTGGCACAACATGGATGCAACAAATTATGCATCAACTACGTAGCGGAGGCAACATGACCTTCACAGATATCGACGAAGTTGTTCCATGGATTGATTTGGCTTATGATGTTGGACAAGACCTCGATGCCGAACACAAATATCAACCTAGATGCTTCAAGACGCACGCCTCGTATGACGTCTGTCCTAAAGGCGGAAAATATATTGTTGTCTATCGGGAGCCTTGTGCATCATTCTACAGTGCATTCAATTTCTTCGAAGGAGTATATTTTCAACCTGGAGAAATAACGCTTGATGAATACGTGAAATATAGGATTTCCCCAAATAAAAGGATGCATCAGAATTACTTCCATCATTTGCTGAGCTGGTGGCCAAAACGAAATGATCCGAATGTATTGTTTCTTCTATACGAAGACATGTTGGATGACTTGGAAAGTGCAGTGAGGGCCGTTGCATCGTTCATGTGTATTGAAGATGAAGCTAGTATAGCAAATGCGGTGAAAATGAGCACATTTGATTTCATGAAGCAAAGTCGAGACAAGTTCGCATCCAACCTCTTGTCAAGTTATCGGAATAAAGCGTTGGGAATACCAGAAGGAGTCAGACTTCAACGTGTTGCTACGGGTTCTGCAACAAAAGGACGGGAAATGATGGACGAGGGTACCAAACAAGCTGTTCAAATAATGTGGAATGAAACTGTTACAAAAGAGACGGGTTTTCAAGATTACAGTGAGTTTAGAGAGGCTTTGAAGACGAGGGAAAAACAGTCCTAACTCGATAGGTTTTCCATAGTTCATACCTTTCTAGATTAATAATATTATTCGCTGATTGCGAAATTTTATATTGGCTATCGCAAGATATCCGTGATCGGGCAATTATATACTGTACGTAATCGTCGGCCATTTCCCATGCAGCGATAGCGACTATTAATAATAAGTAATTTCAACAGTCCTTTGTTTAATTAATTAAGAACAACCAATATAGCACTTGCAAGCCATTTTGTTTCAACTTGCCAAATTTTGCGGGTTTTAAGCGGCTGTCCTTTTTAAAGTACCATTCGAAGTAAAACTAATTGTCACCCTGAAAACCTACAAGGCATAGGCTTACGGAGCTAATGCTTTCCGTGGGAGGGGGGGCGGGGGGGGTAGTTGAAAGATTAGCCGAATTTTTATGGAATATTGTAATGAAATAACTTGAATTTAACCAATTTCATGGTTTCTAAAGTTTTGGGGGAGCAGTTACCCCCATCCCCACCCACCGTCTCGTACTGCTATGCCCACACACGACATGCTAAAGCTGCTTCGTGCGTCCTGTACGGACAGGCAGACCGTGTAAAGTTGGGTCTCTGATGGCTCTCCGTAAAACCAAGGAAACGGGGAATTGACGAATGGAATGAGGTACGAAGACAAGCCAGAATCTGTAAAAATCCTGGAATGAGAAAAGCTGGACTCGGTTAAACCCCGAATATGCATGTATATTTTGTGTACGGTTCAAGGCAAAAGCAGAACAGCTGAACAGGCGCTCTGGAATGTTTGAAAAGTCGTTGAATATAACTTCTGAGAAACGAAGCATGTACACAGGTTAGTGTACGTAATAGATGAATAGTTCTAATTTCAAGAATCACTAAAGCAAAACCAATGTTGAAGCCAGTGTAATATACTAGTTAGAGGCAGAGCTTCTGAAAACTTGAAAATACACTTCCCCTGCTTAGTTAAATCCCTCTGCTTTTCCATTGTTAATTTGGTGGTTAAACATTATAAGATAAGGATAATATGGAGATGCAAATTAGTTTGCACATTTTATGGGGTTTTTTAATGTTATATTGCGGAATTGAATATTTGCTTACACAGAAGCCAAACAATCATTATGGCTTCCACAATATGAAAGTATAAAAAATGTGCACATTTTATAAGATCTGCATGTGTACGTGTTGTCCTTAGCTTACTTTACAATATTTTACAACCGAACTGTGCAATTTTACTAATATAATAGATGGACTCTTTTCACTTTTGGTGTTGGATTTTCGTTTCTTTGCCCAAATAAAACTTCGATAGAACCGTAAAATGGTTTATTAAACGTTGCCTTTACAAGTTAATACGTACGAATAGCTTAATCATTGTACTCCGGCTTCACCGTGCTGATTTTACTAATGATATGTGTTTCCTTCATTTAATACTTGAGCCAAACATCAATTTCTATGCTATATAGTAAATATTGTTACAAATAAGTACAAAACATCTAGCGACTGCAAATTACTTAGCAGGCGATCGTTTCAAAGAAATCATGAACGATTGTTCCGATGAAACCGCATGCCTGCAATGACAAATTTTCATGGTTTAGTGAGGAGAAGTTTGCCAGATGATTGGATGGATTTGGAATTTTGAAAAAGAAAAATGAAAGATATTTTGGATAATATTAAAACAGTGTAACACAATGTGGGATTAAACTGAGTCTTCTAAAATTAATTCAAAATTCTGATTGACACACCTTTTCGCATTTATAATTACGTTGTCTATATATGTATACCCGGTCCAGGAAGCCATTTTTTAGATTCTTTACCCCCTCCTAAATAAACAATCCTTACCACTCCACCGATCAATTCACCACATTGATAATCTTGATCTGTCTTGTCGAAATGATCACAGAATGATTGCTTGTTTCCCAATCCTATATCTCGTTCTTTTTTGTATGTCGGCAAGACTTTAGCGAGCAGAGCTGTTGGAACCAGTAACTGCAGGGTACAACGTATCGGTTCCTGCCACCAGTACATGCAACCAGCTGCGAAAAAGGGGAATTGATAGTTTTAGAGCATATATGAAGCGAAAGATGTGTTGTTTGTGATGTTACTCTGAGTGTGCATCCACATCGGGCAAGCTGAAAAGTTAGCTTGGCCACGGTGGGAATCGAACCCGCGACCTTTGGGATACTAGTCCAACTTAGCCTGCGTGCAGGCCCAAGGGAACTGATAGTGGGCCTGCAACCATCGCCCGGTATTTTGTAAAACGCCCCTTTTCATAACACGCCCCATTCGCGCGTCAATTGTCAAAAAAGAACCAATGACAGCACCCAAATATTAACAAACAAACTCGCATTAAAATGTTGCGGGGTTTTCTCTGCTTATTCAGAACACTAATAAACAATGTGTAAATGGCTGCGTTTTAACTCCAAAAAAGCAAGCAACGCAGTCAGTAATTGCCAAATTTGCAAGTGCTCATTTTCAACTAAAATCGGAACAGGCAAATTAGGACGAATTTCAACAGAAAACCAGTCTCAAACTTCAAATCATGAGGGAAGTCGTGCGACCACATTAGGATTTATATTATGTGTGCTTCGCTGTCGCCATTGGCATTGTTATAAATAAATTGTCTCACTTATCAGATCGTGTGTGCAATTCTTGTTGGCGGCGGAAAGTACGAAATTTATTTCATTTATTTCATTTGGTAAAGAACTCTACAAAAGAAGAGAGCGTTCCGAGTCCAGATCGTTTCGTTTCAAACGGCAATTTAATACCGCCTTCTGTTTCGCTCTCTCAGCGAAGCCTTGTAAATCGCAAAGTGTTTCGAATAGGCTTACAGTCCTTACATGCAACTGCATCTCAACATCAACCAAAAAATAATTTTCTTGAGGAAGTGAGAACACATAACGTATCAACTGAAGTCTGTTTGAAATTAATGAAACTCAAGTAAAGGTTACTATAGTTTACCCCAGTCGTAATTTGCTATTCCAACACCTCACGACAAGCAATCCCCATTGGCATAACGGCAAAAACATGTCTTCCTTCAAGTAAACAATAAACAGTCTGTTCTTGTTCCATTTGTAATCGAAAAAAGTGATCAATTTTCAAATTTTAAGCTTATCGAGAGCCTTTGTCTATGCCTTTGTGATGAATCACTGTTCCCTTGGGCCTGCACGCTAGGTTAATTAATTACCGATCGCCTCAGCTAGCCAATGGGAATTTAGCCGGCGGTTCGGCCGGCGAAAATCGAAAACATGGGGTGATGGTTGCAGGCCCACTATCAGTTCCCTTGGGCCTGCACGCAGGCTAAGTCCAACTGAGCTACGTGGTCAAGTCGGTTCGAGTCGATGATATTTGAACCGACTTGACCACGTAGCTCAGTTGGCGGAGCATTGAACTAGTATCCCAAAGGTCGCGGGTTCGATTCCCACCGTAGCCAAGCCAACTTTTCAGCTTGCCCGGTGTGGATGCACACTCAGGGTAACATCATAAATATCATATTCACCTGAGTACATTACACCGACACAGAAAAAATCATGATTACTAGAATACATTGATATCGAAGGAACTAGATTCTGTTCCGAAATATCACATACTCGAACCGACCTGAATTGAATTTGAAATGAATTGATTTAATGATTACTGACTTTGTAACCCCCAAAGGTTTAAATTACACCAGTATTACATAAATTAAGAGAAGTTAAAATTACATAATTATTACATATTTAAGAGTATTTACATTTCTAAAAACTTATTTACTGTTGATCTTTAA